TGACTCTGGCTGGTGTTTGGTTAATATGCGTCACTTCTTGTGGACCATTCTGGCTGGTGTTTGGTTCATATGATTCACTTGTTGTGTGGTCCACTTGTGTGATCCAACTTGTCTTATGAAGGAATTATTAATTGTAATCTGTGATAGAATGAAACAGTTTTCCACCACTCTGTGAACTCTGTCCCAACATCGTAAGCTTGTGGACCACATGTGCGGTCCACTTGTGTGGTCCACTTGTGTGATCGAACTTGTCATATGAAGGAATTATTAATTGTAATCTGTGATGGTATGGTAAAGTTTTCTACCACTGTGAACTCTGTCCCAACATCGTAAGCTTGTGGACCACTTGTGGACCACATGTGCGGTTCACTTGTGTGGTCCACTTGTGTGATCGAACTTGTCATATGAGGGAATTATTAATTGTAATCTGTGATGGAATGGGAAAGTTTTCCACCAGTCTGTGAATTCTGTCTTGACATCGTAAGCAAATCCGAACATCCCCCGCTTCGGCGAACCATTGTTCGTCGAACCGGGTGAGTAAATCCGGCCTGAAAAGTGTGCGAACTAGCCGGAGATTCGTTGAATCGGGGTACGTTGAATCGAGGTTGTACTGTATAGGCGAAGAAAATGAATCGCGGAACAACTTGAGAGTCGCACCCTATCTCAAGAACGGCGAAGAAGGTTAGATAGAGAAATAGAAACAATTGAACTCAAGCTACAAGAATCATACAAAACCCAAGAGAGGCAAAGAGAGCAAAAGGCTATCAGTGAAATAGAGAGAAATCCGAAATATTTTTTCTCCTATGCAAAATCAAGATAAAAAACCACATCTAGTATCGGGCCCCTGCAAAAGGGAGATGGAACTTTCACCAATGACAACAAAGAAATGAGTAAGTTACTGAGGAAGCAGTACGACTCTGTTTTCAGCGAGCCACTAAACGCACTAAAGATTGATAACCCAAATGAATTTTTCATAGATATGATACCAACATCAAATCATATATCAGACGTCACCCTATCCCCACTGGATTTTGAAGAAGCCATAAACAGTATGCCTATGCACTCTGCACCAGGCCCGGATTCCTGGAACTTTATATTCATCAAGAACTGTAAAAAACCACTATCGCAGGCCCTTCACATTCTGTGGAGACAAAGCCTAGATACTGGCGTTATCCCTGACATACTAAAAATAGCAGAGATAGCACCACTCCATAAAGGAGGAAATAAGGCAGAGGCAAAAAATTACAGACTGATAGCACTAACATCGCACATCATAAAAATTTTTGAGAGAGTGCTAAGAAGTAAGATCACAAAATACATGGAATCACAGCATCTCCATAACCCCGGGCAACATGGTTTCAGAACAGGGCACTCTTGCCTGTCGCAGTTGCTGGACCACTATGATATGGCATTAGATGCCATGGAAGACAAACAAAACGCTGATGTCATTTATACAGATTTCGCAAAAGCTTTTGATAAATGTGACCATGGTGTTATTGCACATAAAATGCGTTCAAAAGGAATTATTGGAAAAATAGGCAGATGGATCTACAATTTCCTGACTAACAGAACCCAATGTATAATAGTCAACAAAATAAAATCCAACCCATCAACCGTGAAGAGCTCAGTCCCCCAGGGTACTGTGCTTGCTCCAGTACTTTTTCTCATCCTCATATCGGACATAGACAAGAACACAACCTATAGCACTGTATCATCCTTTGCAGATGACACTAGGATCTTCATGAGAGTAGGCAACATGGAGGACACGGCAAACCTCCAATCAGATGTAGATCAGGTCTTTCTATGGGCTACAGAAAATAATATGGTGTTTAAAGAAGATAAGTTCCAACTCATGCACCATGGAAAAAATGAAAATATAAAAACGGAAACCACGTACAAAACTCAGGCAAATCATAACATAGAACGAAAAGGCAATGTAAAGGATCTGGGTGTACTCAGGTCGGAAGACCTTACCTCTAAAGAACACAATAAATTTAATTAGCCATCACAACTGCAAGAAAAATGACAGGTTGGATAACAAGAACTTTTCACACTAGAGATGCTATACCGATGATGATACTTTTTAAAACGCTTGTGCTCTCTAGAGTGGAGTACTGCTGCACAATGACAGCCCCTTTCAAAGCTGGAGAAACTGCTGACCTGGAGAGCGTGCAGAGATCCTTTACTGCCAGAATCCACTCAGTAAAACATCTAAATTACTGGGACCGACTAAAATCTGTACTTCCTTGAGCGCAGGCGGGAGAGATACATAATAATTTACACGTGGAAAATAATTGAGGGGCTGGTCCCAAACCTGCACACAGAAATAACATCACATGAGACCAGAAGACATGGCAGGATGTGCAGAATACCCCCCGTTGAAAAGCAGAGGTGCAACAGGTACTCTGAGAGAGAGAACTATCAACATCAGAGGCCCAAGACTGTTCAACACGCTTCCACTACACATAAGGGGCATAACTGGCAGACCCTCACAGTGTTCAAGAGAGAACTGGATAAGCACCTCCAAAGGATACCTGATCAACCAGGCTGTGACTCATACGTCAGGCTGCAAGCAGCCGCGTCCAACAGCCTGGTTGAGCAGTCCAGCAACCAGGAGACCTGGTCGACGACCGGGCCGCGGGGACGCTAAGCCCCGGAAGCACCTCAAGGTAACCTCAAGGTAAGGTAACCCCCACTCTCCCATCACCTCCACTCTTCCTCTCACCTCCACTCTTTCCCTCACCCCCCACTCTTCCCTCACCACCCCACTCTTCCCCTCACCCCCCACTCTTCCCCTCACCCCCCCCCACTCTTCCCCTCACCCTCCCACTCTTCCCTCACCCCCCACTCTTCCCTCACCCCCACTCTTCCCCTCACCCCTACTCTTCCCCTCACCCCCCACTCTTCCCCTCACCCCCCCACTCTTCCCTCACCTCCCACTCTTCCCTCACCCCCCCACTCTTCCCTCACCCCCACTCTTCCCCTCACCCCCACTCTTCCCCTCACCCCCCCACTCTTCCCTCACCACCCCCCCACTCTTCCCTCACCCCCCCACTCTTCCCTCACCCCCCCACTCTTCCCTCACCCCCCCACTCTTCCCTCACCCCCCCACTCTTCCCTCACCTCTACTCTTCCCTCACCTCCACTCCTCCCTCACCTCTACTCTTCCCTCACCTCTACTCTTCCCTCACCTCCACTCTTCCCCTCACCTCCACTCTTCCCCTCACCTCCACTCTTCCCCTCACCTCTACTCTTCCCTCACCCCCACTCTTCCCTCCTCTCACTCTCCCTCCCCTCCCTCCCTTCCTGCCTCTTCCCCTCAATGGTTGTTTTGATGATTAGGGACCAGATTAGGGCTTTTTTACCTATATAAAGTATACCCTAAATATGTCCCCTAAATCATTATAATCATTATAATTATCCCTATATTTTGTTTTTTGTGGGGGGGTATTTTTTCTTGACTTCATTTTAACACACAGTGGCCTACAACTTTCACATATATGAGTACGAATGCCAAACAATGTTTATTACAACATACAAGTAAATTCATGAATTAGAACTGCCTTATTCATTTTTGATAACTTCAACTTCAATTATATATATAACTAGAATTTCAACTTCAGTATCCAAAAATCTAGGTTCTGATCGATTCGCACCATTTTTACATATAGTGTCCACAGCTGTCTGTTCTACAATCCCTATAGAATTAATTTTTCACGAATTCTAAACGTTTGGAGTTATAAATTTTTTTTTGTTCAAATTTGCACATATTTCAAATGCCATATTGACAATTTTTTTTTACAGTAAACTATACTGAAAACGTATACTGTATTCTAAATATATGAAAATGAAGATCATATGCTATTCTGAGAGAATAATAGCACTGAGTGAACAGTTGGTGGTATTTTATATTTTGCAGTTGATTTCAAAATCTGAAGATTTCAATATTCAATTTTATAATTATTTTTTATTTTCTTGTTTTTCAAGTTACACTGTTACACAAAGTTGGAGCATTTAGCTAGTAGATTATGCACAAAACTTTTGAAAAGAGTTTCAGTAAATTTTAAAAAACTGAGCGCAATGTCACACATCATAAGACATTTTGAGCAGTTTAAGAGTTAAATGAACTTTGTAATAATATTCTAATCACCCTCAAGGGGTGGTAGCAAATTTGTAACAGGTACCATAACAGTTCCCACTGTGGTGGTGGGGAAGATATTGCTGTAGGGTACCAGTCCCACTGTGGTGGTGGGGAAGATATTGCTGTAGGGTACCAGTCCCACTGTGGTGGTGGGGAAGATATTGCTATAGGGTACCAGTCCCACTGTGGTGGTGGGGAAGATATTGTTGTAGGGTACCAGTCCCACTGTGGTGGTGAGGAAGATATTGCTGTAGGGTACCAGTCCCACTGTGATGGTGGGGAAGATATTGCTGTAGGGTACCAGTCCCACTGGTGGTGGGGAAGATATTGCTATAGGGTACCAGTCCCACTGTGGTGGTGGGGGGAAGATATTGCTGTAGGGTACCAGTCCCACTATGGTGGTGGGGAAGATATTGCTGTAGGGTACCAGTCCCACTGTGGTGGTGGGGAAGATATTGCTGTAGGGTACCAGTCCCACTGTGGTGGTGGGGAAGATATTGCTGTAGGGTACCAGTCCCACTGTGGTGGTGGGGAAGATATTGCTGTAGGGTACCAGTCCCACTGTGATGGTGGGGAAGATATTGCTGTAGGGTACCAGTCCCACTGTGGTGGTGGGGAAGATATTGCTGTAGGGTACCAGTCCCACTGTGGTGGTGGGGAAGATATTGCTGTAGGGTACCAGTGGTGGAGAGAGGTTGCTGTGGAATAACTTAACCGAACCTAAGACATGTATAAATAATTATATGTAAAATATAGAACAAATTCAAACAGCTGAAAGTGTATCATACATACGATATATATTTTGAACTCACGTTATGCTCTGTGGACTCTTCATATCCCTCCTCTTTCCCTCACACAGCAGCTTGTGACTGAGAGTGGTTTGTGGACCATGGCAGCCTTTTGACCATAGCGGCCTGCAAACTAAGGAGCACTTTGATCTCAATTGCTGCGACCGAAGAGACTGAGAGTGTTGGGAGTTCAGAAGTGTTCAAGTTTACCAATATCTATCTGCTCTGGCCAGATTTATGCACTGCAGGTAAGATATCTGTCCTGGCCAATACTTACGCACTGTTACTGATATAGGTAAGATATCCGTTCTTGCATGTACTTATGCACTCGGTTCAATTTAGCAGCGCCAGGAAGCACGAGTCATTCTGCATCAGGCTCCAGGAATATCAAATTTCCTAAATGTTGGGAACAGGTTGAGGGCGTTAAATGGTGTCCCAGGTTACATAAAGGTATAGGGAAGGTGAAAGGTAAATAAGATACAAGAAATAGGTGAAAATGAGTGAAAATTATATGTTGGAAAGTTTATATTCCAAAGCAAAAGAGCGTTAATAACGAAGATGGCCGCCAACAAGGGGAAGGTAAACACACCAATGGATGAATATTTCGAAGGATTCTCGCCACAAGATATAATGAAAGATGGTTTTCTTGGCAGGTTAAAGACCATTGAGGACATGATAAAAATGTTTGAAGAAAAAGTACTTGAATTAGAAGATGAGGTTGTATCTGTGAGGGAGTGTCTGTGAATGGAGACATTCACAGATACTGAAATAATTATGTAAAAATGTATTTGGGTCAACCCCTGACCCAAATTCCACAGCCCCACACTCAGCTGTTTGCCACTAGGCTGACCTTGGATTCTTGTTCTGTTTTTATAAACTCTGAATATACAATCTTTGTAGTTCACTATGGAACACAAAAAATGTAGATAGTTATTAGTTATTTTTAAGTTGTGTGTATAGTGTAATAACAGCACAAACACTGATTGAGTGTGAGTACCCTCACACCCACACCCTCAAAAATACTAACTTAAAAAAACATTTTATACTGAATACAATTTTTTTCTCTAACTACAATACAGTACATATGTTTATGTTACCTTTATGGAGGACTCTTGATGGCGTATGGATGGTGAGGAGGGGGAAGGAGGAGAGGTGTTACTATTTGGAAGAGGAGTCCCCTTCCATTATAACATCAGGCAGTAAGGACTTCTCTGGGGTACACACACTGGCACGTTTTGCCTGCATACCACTGGGACCTGCTTCTGGCTCATTGCTTGATTTTCTCACTAGAAATCATTCCATTGAAGATTGTTTTTCCCTTCTTTCCAACACTTGTCTGTAGTGAAGCATCACATTGTCATTAAAAAGATCAATGCAATGGGCTGTTACAGCTTTATCTGGGTGATTCTTTTCAGCAAAACTTTGCAGTCCTTCCCATACTGTACACATTTTCTTAATTAATGAGGAAGGAACATCCTCCAATGCTGCCGCCTCCTCCTCCTCTGAAGATTTATTGTACTGCCTAGCTACTTCAACAACACTAGTACCATTTTCATATTTACGTATGATCTCTTGTTTTTCCTCTATGGTCATTATTTCATGTGTTTTTATATGTTGAACCTTACCACTGACTTTCTTGGGACCCATGGCACGATATATAATAATCAGTTTTATGTTCAAAAAGCAAAAAATCACCACAAAAACAAATTCACATGGGCCGTGACAAGGATTCGAACCTGCGTCCTAGAACATCCCAGACACTGCCTTAATCGACTGAGCTACGACATGGTAAAAGGAGTTGAAACCGAAGTTCTACTGAACTTACTGGATCCTGCATCCTCTCCGAGGCACAAACCAGGGTTTTACACAACTCCCCCCATGCACTTTAGCTATGTCAATTGGCCGTTCTTCCTCTTCGCCCTTACTTCATTACACACAGAAATCACAATTGTGTGATGCATCAAATGAACAAATCCACAAGGGCCGTGACGAGGATTCGAACCTGCGTCCGAGAGCATCCCAGACACTGCCTTAATCGTAAGTTGTATGATTAAATGAACTTTGTAATAATATTCTAATCACCCTCAAGGGGTGGTAGCAAATTTGTAAGAGGTACCATAACAGTTCCCATTGTGATGGTGGGGAAGATATTGCTGTAGGGTACCAGTCCCACTGTGGTGGTGGGGAAGATATTGCTGTAGGGTACCAGTCCCACTGTGGTGGTGGGGAAGATATTGCTATAGGGTACCAGTCCCACTGTGGTGGTGGGGAAGATATTGTTGTAGGGTACCAGTCCTACTGTGGTGGTGAGGAAGATATTGCTGTAGGGTACCAGTCCCACTGTGATGGTGGGGAAGAACTTTATTTCATTTGTTGCATTTATGCTATGAATCTGTCGATTTTTTCCCTTTGGAATTTTTTTGTTAAATTAAAAAAAAATTATCTCTCCATTTTCCTCCATTCTTGTTTACGAACTTACACGATAACCGACGGGTATCGTCCCCAAGGGGTTCGGAAACCAAATGGTGCTCTGTATAAGTATCTGCATGTTTTGTTCACTATAACGAACCACTAAGTAGCTATTATGAGTCAAAAAGTAACGAGGAGTGACCGCCGTTTACCAGCCAGCCACTCCCGCCCTCCCTCCAGTCATCTGACTCACCCACATTCTCCTCCCACTATAATGTTTTTGCTATAATTCACTATATACAGACATTATATATAAGTATCTACATGTTTTGTTCACCATAACTGTACATCTAAGCTTGTATGGTGAGTAAAGGCACAAAGATGTGGCTACTCACACAGTCAGCTGATCGGCGGCCGCCCTCAAGGCCAGACGCACTAATATTTCTCCTCCAACAATACTGTGTGGTGTTATTACGCTATATACACACATTATATATAAATATCTACCTGTTTTATTCACCATACTTGTACAAATAAACTGGTATGGTGCCCAAAGACCATCGTGGTAACCAGTAAACAACACCGTCGTCTGCACGGTGGCATCGTGCAGACGACGCCACTGCCCTCACCAAAATGGCGGCTCCAAACCTTCTCTTGCTGTTTATACCCTCTATACACACATTATATATAAGTACCTACATTTGTGTTCACCATAGCGAACCACTAAGCTGGTATGCTGAGTGCAGTTAATAAAAGGTGGCCACACACAGTCAAAAGACATCGCCACCACCCTCCCTCCCACAGCATTACTCCTCCTTCACACTTCACTTGTGGCCAAACTCCCGGGTGTTATTGGCCTCAGTATTGAGTGAGCAACCAAGCCTGACTGACGCAGCATGAGCTAACAGCACTGCTGTTCAGCTTGTGACCACAGCATCGCCTAAAAATGTCAAATTATACTTGTTCATGCTATTATGTAGCGATGATATTATTACAGAAGACCCCTGACTGTGATAAAACTGACCAGGGTTCTGATAATAACAGGATTGTGGTGATATTTAGCGCTGTGCGCCATGGAGGGAGGAGTAATGCTGTGGGAGGGAGGGTGGTGGCGATGTCTTTTGACTGTGTGTGGCCACCTTTTATTAACTGCACTCAGCATACCAGCTTAGTGGTTCGCTATGGTGAACACAAATGTAGGTACTTATATATAATGTGTGTATAGAGGGTATAAACAGCAAGAGAAGGTTTGGAGCCGCCATTTTGGTGAGGGCAGTGGCGTCGTCTGCACGATGCCACCGTGCAGACGACGGTGTTGTTTACTGGTTACCACGATGGTCTTTGGGCACCATACCAGTTTATTTGTACAAGTATGGTGAATAAAACAGGTAGATATTTATATATAATGTGTGTATATAGCGTAATAACACCACACAGTATTGTTGGAGGAGAAATATTAGTGCGTCTGGCCTTGAGGGCGGCCGCCGATCAGCTGACTGTGTGAGTAGCCACATCTTTGTGCCTTTACTCACCATACAAGCTTAGATGTACAGTTATGGTGAACAAAACATGTAGATACTTATATATAATGTCTGTATATAGTGAATTATAGCAAAAACATTATTGTGGGAGGAGAATGTGGGTGAGTCAGATGACTGGAGGGAGGGCGGGAGTGGCTGGCTGGTAAACGGCGGTCACTCCTCGTTACTTTTTGACTCATAATAGCTACTTAGTGGTTCGTTATAGTGAACAAAACATGCAGATACTTATACAGAGCACCATTTGGTTTCCGAACCCCTTGGGGACGATACCCGTCGGTTATCGTGTAAGTTCGTAAACAAGAATGGAGGAAAATGGAGAGATAATTTTTTTTTAATTTAACAAAAAAATTCCAAAGGGAAAAAATCGACAGATTCATAGCATAAATGCAACAAATGAAATAAAGTTCATTGTGTAATTGCGTTCACTCACCCCCACCCTTCCCTCCCTCACTGCTTCTATCTCTCACTGCATCTCCTTCCTCTCTGCCTGCCTGCCTCTTCCCCTCACTGCCTCTTCCCCCTCAATGCCTCACTGCCTCTCCCCCCTCACTGCCTCTCCCCCCTCACTGCCTCTCTCCCCTCACTGCCTCTCCCCCCTCACTGCCTCTCCCCCCTCAATGCCTCTCCCCCCTCACTGCCTCTGCCCCCTCAATGCCTCTGCCCCCTCAATGCCTCTCCCCCCTCAATGCCTCTCCCCCCTCAATGCCTCTCCCCCTCAATGCCTCTCCCCCTCAATGCCTCTCCCCCTCAATGCCTCTCCCCCTTAATGCCTCTCCCCCTCAATGCCTCACTGCCTCTCCCCCTCAATGCCTCTCCCCCTCAATGCCTCTCCCCCTCAATGTCTCACTGCCTCTCCCCCTCAATGCCTGCCATCCCTCCCTCACTGCCTTCCTCATAACATGAGAACAGCAGGCTATGGAGGAGGGGGAGCTACTAACAGGGTCGGGAAGTACTAATGGGGTCGAGGCTATGTAGAGGCGGACATGTCTGTCAGCGCCTGCTCACAGATGCCAACTGTGCATAATTCATAAATAAAACTATATTTGTTTAATTAATAAATAGGAAGTCATATAACATGTTAATGATTAATAATGTATATTAATATATGAAAATTAACATTTTGGCATAAATATTTTACAACTAAGATTAAAATTTGTAATTCAATATGGGCGATAAGTTTGGCAACCATTGCCTGGTCAGCAAATCCTTCCTTACTGCCTCCCTCACCAATCCACCAACAGGGGGGGGGGAGAATTAGTGAGAGAGGAGAAATAGTGGGAGAGGGGGGAGAATTAGTG